TCAAGCACCAACAAGACACCAGAGGATGTGATTTGTTTCAGAAAGACCCCCAAAACCAACACTGAACAAAGTGGTCTGGAAAAAAACTCCAGTTAGCTAGCAGACTCCACATAATCCCACTTCCTTTTTTTTTTTTTTTCAGTACTGGGGATGGAACCCAGGGCCTCATACCACTGACCTGCACCCCCAGCTTCCTTTTCCGGTTTTAGACTCTTGATGCTTGGCTTTTGGGATAATCCAGGATAATCTCTATCTTTAGGTCAGCTGATTAGCAGCCTCAATTCCATCTGCAACCTTAGTTCCCCTTTGACATGTTGCCTAAGTTTGTCACATGTTCTGGGGATCAATTAGTACATCATCATCTTTGAGTGACCATTATTCTACCTACCCCAGATGTGCTGGTGTCCCTGCAGGTGGCCAGCTGTGGTGGCTGTGTGCACCAGCAGTCACTCCTTCCCATCAACATGGGGGCTTGTCTTCTCTCTTCCATCTCAGAACCCTGTCCTATCTATTGTGTCCTCACTATCTGTGCAGTCCCTACACCGTCACCTCCCAGTCACTCTCTGCACTGCTGTTTCAGCAAAACAGCTCTCGGGAACTTTCACTGAGTGCCCTGTCCTCCTTAGCCCCTGCCTCCAGCACCTTGTTCCCCGTGAAAATCTCATATCCCTGGACTGTTGTGAGGTCACCATCTGGCTCTTCTGCCACTGACTACTCCTCTGCCGAATTCATTTTACAAACTCTGGAAATTGAGTTTGGCTCTGTCACTTACTATTCTGTGACTTTGAGAAATGTTCCTAGGCACTCAGTGCCTTACTTTTTTTTTTTGGTACCGGGGATTGGACTCAGGACCTTGCGCTAGCGAGGCAGGCGGTGGCACCACTGAGCTAAATCCCCGCCCCCAGTGGGGGGATTTTCTTATTTTACTTTTCTTATTTAAAATGGGAAGGGGGCCCCGGAATTTAGCTCAGTGGTGGTTCTGGTGCCTGCCTCAAGAGTGGAAGGGCCCGAGTTTGATCTCCAGTACCCCCCCCAAAAAAGAGAAGAATGGTGGTCTTCATCTCACAGGGTAATTAATGAGAGTTTAATGAGTTATTTGTTTGCATTGATCAGTGGCTGGAAGGTGATGCATCTTTGTGGTTGTTTTATTATTATTATTTGTGGTGCTGGGAATGGTAGCCAGGGCCTTGTGCCTGCTAGGCAAGTGATCTACTACAGAACTACACCTCCAGTCCTCTTTGTGGCTGAAAACTTTCTGTACCTTTTTAAAAAAAGTTTTTTGAGACAGAGTCTTGCTATGTACTTCAGGCTGACTGAATTCACTATGTAGCCCAGACTAGCCTTGAACTCGTGGCCATCCTGCCTCAGCCTCCTGAGTGCTGGGGTTACAGGTATGTACCACCACACCTGGGTTGTTCTTTAAGACAATAGCTGTGGACTGAGGACACAGTTTGGTGGTAAAGCACTTGCCTAGCATGCACAAGAACCTGGGTTTTATACCCACCAGAAAAAAAAAGAAGGGAGCTGGCCTCTGGTGCTAGAGTGGTCATGATCCTGAGCATGTTGAAGAACTGACTGATTGCTGTGGTGCTTTGTGTGTCTGTGTATGTGACTGTGTATGTACAGTGGCCCTCCATATCCCTGTGTTTCACGCCCACAGACTCAGCCAATCACAGATTAAAAATATTAAGAGAGGGGCCGGAGATTTAGCTCAGTGGTTCTGTTGCCTGCCTTGCAAGCGCAAGGACCTGAGTTTGATCCCTGGTACCAAAAAAAAAAAAATTCAGAGAAAAACTGCCTGGGTACTAGATAGGAACAGATTTTTTCCTTGTCATTTCCCCCTAAACAATACAATACTTATTTGCATAACATTTACCCAGCATTAGGTATTAGAGTACAGTACTGTATACAGAAGGATTTGCATAGATTATATGGAAAAACTATGCATTTTTCTTTGTTTTTTGGAGACAGGGTCTTGTTATGTAGCCCAGGCAGGCCTCGAACTTGTGACCATCCTCCTGCCTCAGCCTCCCAAGTGCTGGGATCACAGACGTGTGCCACCAGGCCCAGCCAGAAATACTATGGATTTTCTTTTATTTTTTGGAACCAGGGATTGAACTCGGGACCGTGGGATACTATGCATTTATGAGGGGTTTGAGCATTTGAAGATTTGGACTCCTGGGTCTCAGAACCACTCTCCCAAGGACACAGAGGGCGGACTATGTCTATGTATGTGTGTATGCCCTTAAAGGAATGTAGTCCTGCTGGGTGTGTTGGTGCATACCTGTAATCCAGCACTTGGGAAGCTGAAGGAAGAGGATAGCAAGTTGGAGCCCATCCTGGGTAGCTTGGTGACTTAGTGAGACCCTGTCTCAAATTAAAAAACAGAATAGGGGGCTGGGGATTTGGCTCAGTGGTTTCTCCGCCTGCTGCGCAAGCGCAAGGACCAGAGTTTGATCCCCTGTACCAAAAAAAAAAAAAAGGGCCCTGGATTCTTTCCTCAGTATAAACCAAAAAAAAAGTATTCGGAGAAGGTGAACCTATGGAATGTCCGAATGAGTGTGCTTGGGTGTATAAGGACGTGTGCACCTGCGGGCTCATACACGACTCCTCCCAACAGCAGGCAAACGGGAGCCGTGTCCATGTGCTCTACTCCACCCCTGCCTGTTACCTTTGGGAGCTGAACAAAGCCAACCTCACCTGGTATTTGAAGGGCCTGGGGAACGGGGGAGGGGTGAGAGGGGGCTGGCTTGTTCCAGGGCTGCTCTGCTCTCCTCACTCGCCCCCTTCCCCCAGGTCTGTGAAGGAGGACGACTTTTTCCCTTACGCAGACGGCCCCCACATGTTCTGGACCGGCTATTTTTCTAGCAGGCCTGCCCTCAAGCGCTACGAACGCCTCAGCTACAACTTCCTGCAGGTGGGTGGGCTAGACTAGAGGACAACCCAGGGATCGCTCAGGGGACAACCCAGGCGGCCCAGTGCACCTACCTCGTGCCCCTCAGGTGTGCAATCAGCTGGAGGCGCTGGTGGGCCCAGCGGCCAACGTGGGACCCTATGGCTACGGAGACAGCGCGCCCCTCAGTAGGTGTCGGGCTTGGGGGGCCCGGGTGGGGCTGAAGACAACAAGCATCCCTAGACCATCTCCTGAAGGGCCCTCTTGGAGCTTCAGAGTCCAGCACGTGTGCACCGGGCCTTTCTCTCCTTCTTGGGGTGAGGCAGAGAGCTCTGTGCAGACACCACTGACCCCACTCCCTCCATCTGCCCGCAGATGAGGCGATGGCGGTGTTGCAGCACCATGATGCGGTCAGTGGCACCTCGCGGCAGCACGTGGCCAACGACTACGCGCGTCAGCTGGCAGCTGGCTGGGGGCCTTGTGAGGTGGGCGGGGCCGCGGAGAAGGCGTGGTCTAGGGTGGGGTGGAGGCTAGGAGGCCTCATGGGGCGGGGCTTGCAGGAAGCGGGGGTAGAGTGAAGAATGAGGGTTAAGGAAGGGGATGAGCCTTGGGAGAGGGGCGGAGACTGGGAGGGGCAAGGCCTGAGAGAGAAGGGTGGAGCCGAGTACAGTATAGGGCGTGGTCTAGGCAGTGGGGTGGAGAGTAGGCGGGTTTTGCAGGAGGCTGGGCACAGAGAGGGGAGAGGCAGAGTCAAGGCAGCAGGGTGTGGCTTTGCAGGGGTGGGAAGAGACCCAGGTGTGGACCTGGTCAGCAGTAGACCTGTCCCCTTGCGCTCCTCTCCAGGTTCTTCTGAGCAACGCGCTGGCCAAACTCAGCGGCTCTAAGGAGTCCTTCTCGTTCTGCCGCTACCTCAACATCAGCATCTGCCCCCTTAGCCAGACATCTGCACACGTGAGCCTGGACTGGGGTGAGGTAGAGGGGCGAGGTGAGGAGGAGGCAGGGTTGGGCCAGGCACCCTGGAAGCAGTAGTTGCACATTTTTTTGGAGACCCGTTCTGGGGCTGTATTATGCAGGGCAGGGTGGAGCTGGGGCAGAGACAGGCCATGAAGGGTGGTCTGTCCTGCAAGGCCATGATTGCCCCTGGATCGTTGGTGCGTCTGATGGGTAGGGTGGGGAAGGGCTGCTGTGACCTGTCCCCTGCCTGACCTCCCTCCCCAGTTCCAAGTCACCGTTTATAACCCTCTGGGGCGGAAGGTGGATTGGATGGTGAGGCTGCCGGTCAGTGAAGGCCTTTTCCTCGTAAAGGACCCCAGCAATAAGACTGTGCCAAGCAAGGTGAGCCCCCTCAGTGAATACCACCTGCCTTAGACCTTTCCCTTGGGCATTTTCCTCTTGTTCCTTTGAGCCCAGGGCCTTTGCACTGAGCTATATCTTCAGCCCTTTTAAAATTTTTTATTCTGAGACAGGGTCTCACTAAGTCACTTAACTGGCCCAGGCTAGGCCCAAACTTATGATTCTCCTGCCTCAGCCTTGCAGAGTGCTGGTATTACAATGGTGTGTCTTTCTCCCTGTTCTCATGGACACCTCCCCAAGAATGACTCTTCCAGCTCTATATATCTGGCTCTTCTGCCACTGAATATCTGCTCCCCTTGGGAACATCTGCCTCCCATGACTGAGCTGGTTTTTTTTTCTTTGGAGACAGAGTCTTACTACATAGTTCAGGTGGGTCTTGAACTCATTATTCAAGGCTGGCCTTGAACTTGTGGTGATCTTCCTGCCTCAGCCTCCTGAGAGTGCTGGGATTACAGGCATCTCACACCCAGCTGATTTTTTTTTTTTTTGATTGGTCTGATTTTAAAATATCTACCCCTGAAATTTTCTTACTGTTATGGGCAGTGCATTCATCCCAGAAGCCCTCCTTTGAGCCTTTTTCTCACCCAAAAATCTTTCCTTCACTCCTGTGCCTTAAGGATCTCTTCTTGGGGGTGGTGTGGGTCTGTCATCCTAGCACTGAGAGAAGCTGAGGCAGGAGGATCAAAAGTTCAAGTCCTGTTTGGACAACTTAGTGAGACTTGATCTCAAAATAGCAATAAATAAATGAATAAATAAATAATTAGGGCTGGAGATGTAGCTCAGTGGTAGGCCTTGGGTTTGATTCCCAGATTTAGAAAGAAGAAAAAACTGTTCTACTTCCTCCCTCACTTCTCCCCGACTCCCAGTACCCCCCATCCCTGTGGATTGTTTTCTACCTTGAGAAACCTGTGCAGTCATTATTTGTTTGTTTTTTTTTTTTTGGTACCGGGGATCAAACTCTGGACCTTGTGCTTATGAGGCAGGCAGCGGAACCACTGAGCTAAATCCCTGGCCCTCTGCAATCATTATTGTTATTGTTATTATTACTATTTTTGGCTTTTTTTTTTTTTTTTTGTACCGGGGATTGAACTCTGGTCCTTCCGCTTGCAAGGCAGGCAGTGGAACCACTGAGCCAAATCTTTGGCTTTTTTTTTGAGACAAGGTCTTGTTATGTAGCCCAGGCTAGCCTTAAAGTCATGGTGATCCTCCTGCTTCAGCCTCCCACGTGGTGAGATAACAGGTGTGTGCCACCAGCCCTGGCACACTATTATTATTACGCTGGGGTTGGAACCCAGGACCTTGTATATGTGAGGCAAGCTCTTAGCACTGACCTGCATCCCAGCCACTTTCTCTGTAATCTTTTCCTTGGGATCTTACACCTTCCTTCAATAAAACCCAGATTTCTTCTCCCTATCCCAGGACTCTTACCATCCCTAAGTTTGATGCCTTCTATCTATCTATCTATCTATCTAATATTAGTATATGTGCTGCCGAAGCGAGCACTCTATCTATCTATCTTCTATCCATCCAACTATCACCTGTCTATTTATCTATCTGTCTGAGACAGGGTCTCACTATGCAGCCCAGGCTGGCCTTGAAATCACTGTGTAGCCCAGGCTAATCTCAAACTCATGGTGCTCCCCCCTGCCCCCTCCTGAGTCCTGGGTTTACAGGGCTGTGTCACCACACCTGGCTGATGCTCATGAATGGCACAGTATGTCCTTATAGTTTCTTGACTCAGTTTCCCTTCCCCTTGACCCAAGGTGGTAGAACTTCCCAGCTCTGACAACCCAGAACTCCTGTTTCCAGCATCGGTGCCTGCTCTGGGCTTCAGCATCTACTCTATAACCCGGATGCCTGTCCGGAGGCCCCAAGCCAGACTTCTGCAGCCCAGGCCCCAGAAGTTTGGGTCCCCTGTTTTGTCCATCAAAAATGAGGTAAGGCTCTAACTGATCTGTTCCTTGCCTCTGTGACAGATTTGAAATGTCATGGTGGGCTACATGGACTCCTGCTCGGGGGTCCCTGGTCTCTGGCTTGCTGTTGCTGCTTCCCTTATTGAGTGTCTCTAGCTGATAAGTGACCTTCATCTGAGCCTCAGTGTCCTTTCTGGGGCTGTTGTGAGGGTCCAGTGTGGCTGTGAGTAATATGTGGCTGTCATGTCAGAGCTGATGGCAGGAGGGGACTCATGATTTCGGAGGGCTATCCGGGAGGGCCCTCAGATAAGGTGGCATTTGTCTTGGGACCCAGAGCTGAGAGGTAGCTCAGTGGTGCAGTGATTGCCTAACATGCATGAGGCCCTGGGTTCTGTCCCCAGCATCGCAGTAAAGAAATAAGTGCTGGACAGAGGGAGCCACGGAGCTATGTTGGGAAGAGGGATCCAGGCAGGCAGAATATAACAGACACAGAAACCCTCAGGTTTTTAAAAAACCTTTTTATTAGTACATGTTCACAGTACATAATAATCATATCCATCCTGGGGAGTTGGTATATGTACATAACACATTTTAATTCTTTTTTTTTTCCCTTCCTCCCCTCCCTCCATCTCTTGGTCCTCTTCCCTTTTTACAAAAGATTTATCTCTGTATTTCCTATTATCTGTCTTTTTTTTCTCTTTATTTATATTTTGGTTGTCTCATATAAGAGAAGCCGTTTGATATTTAAGGATGTGTGTCTGAGTTAGTTCATTTAACACTATGGTCTGAAGGTGCATCCATTTTCCTATAAATGACTCAAGTTTATCCTTCTTTATGGCAGAGTAGTACTCCATTGTGTGTAAATACCACATTTTTCTGTATCCATTCATCTGTGGATGGACATATAAGCTACTTCCAAAATTTAGCTATAATGATGTGTGCTGAAAACCCTCAGATCGTGAGGGCCTTGGGGGCCAAGAAGAAGACTTCAGCTCATACTCTGAAGGAGCCATGAATGGGACAGGGTTGCATTAAAATTGTTACGGGAGCTGGGCATAGTGGTCCAAGCCCGTAATCTCAGCACTCTGGGAGGCTGAGACAGGAGGATGGCGAGTTCGAGCTCAGCCTGGGAAATTTAGCAAGACCTTGTCTCAAAATAAAGATATAAAGGCCTGGGGGTGTAGCTCAGTGGTATAGAGCTTACCTGGCATGCATAAGGCCCTGGGTTTATGCCCTAGTACCAGACCCCTGCCCCTCTAAAAATAAACACTATCTTAATGCTAGCACTTTTGCCTTGATGGCTGCCTTTTTTTTGTTTGTTTGTTTTGTTTTTGGTACTGGGGATTGAACTTGGGTCCTTGAGCTTGCGAGGCAGGTGGTGGAACCACTGAGTTAAATCCCTGCCGCCGCCGGCCCCCCCCCCCCTTTTTAGGAGAGGGTCTTGCTGTGTAGTTCAGGCTGGCCTTGAACTCACTATGTAGCACAGGCTGGTCTTGAACTCATGGCAATCCTCCTGCCTCAGCCTCCTGAGTGCTGGAATCACAGGTGTGCGCCACCACACCTGGTAATAGCTCCCTTTTCCCATTAAAAATAAAATGATGTTAGCTGAGTGTAGTGGTGCATGCTTGTAATCCCAGCATTTGAGAAGCTGAGGCAGCAAGATTTCTGTGAGCTCGAGGCCAGTCTAGGATACATAGTGAGTTTGAGGCCAGCCTGAACTGTATAGTGAGCCTCTGTTTCAAAAAAAAAAAAAGATATTGTTATAAATACAATCCAGGAAAATCTTATTTTAATATATTCATTATTATTCCAGTCAAGTTTTTTTTTTATATGATTCTAAAAGAAAGGAAAACATTTCCTTGGGGCCCCTGAAAGTCTCATGGGTCCTGGTGTGGTAGCTTTGTGTTCAGTGCCCAAGTTGGCCCTGACCTGGAGTGGATGGGGGCTATGACCGTTTTTCTTTTTTTGTTTTTTTGAGACAAGGTCTCACTATGTAGCCCAGCCTTGAATTCACAGCAATCCTCCTGCCTGAGATTAGGAGCATGGGCCACCACGCTCAGCTGGCAGATGCTGTGACTGATTTTAGGTGCCACAGCTCTCTCTGGCTGGCATGGGGTGAGCAGACAGGAACTGAGCCGAGTGAAGGGGTCAGAGTGGAGTGACTGTAGGGCTGTAAGGCCCTGGAAGGATGGGAAGTGACTGAGGCTGAGGCTGAAGGAGGCAATGCAGGATCTGTAATAGGATCAAATGTGAGAAGCGTGGAGAGCTGAGGGTGACTGTAGAGTGCCGAGTTCGGGGAGGGGTAGTGCTGCTGCTGACTGTGGTCCTGGGCAGTGATGTCTGGCTCTATCCCTGCACAGTACCTTCGAGCTACGTTCCACCCTGACACAGGGTTCTTGAGGACGATCGAGGTCCTAGACCAGAAACTAGTGCTACCTGTGAGCCAGGCCTTCTTCTGGTAAGAGGTCAGCCAGGTGGGGTGGGGCACAGCCAGGCCCTTCCCTGACTCATCTGCTCTGGTCACAGGTACAATGCCAGCATGGGCGACAAGCAGAGCGATCAGGCATCCGGTGCCTACATCTTCAGACCCAGTCGTGCAAAGCCATTTCCCGTGAGCCACTGGGCTCAGACACACCTGGTGAAGGTCTGGGGCCACAAATGATGAGGGGGCAGCTGGGGATGGGAGGTGGCAGTGGAACTTGAGAGGCTGATTTCCATCCTCAGATGGGTCATGAGAGTCACCACCAGTTTTTTTTTTTTCTTTTTGCATCGGGGATTGAACTCAGGACCTTGTGCTTGTTGAATCCCCGGCCCACCACGGCTTTTATGACAGGCTCTTCTTACCCATTTACATCTGCCATGAGTGTCAGATGATACAGTACTTAGCTTTGGAAATGAGGTTAATGAGGAGAGCCAAGTGTGGCTGCTTGAGGAGTTCCACAGGCTGGGTGTGGTGGTAATCCCAGCACTTGGGGAGGCTGAGGCAAGAGGACTGAAAGTTTGAGCCCAGCCTGGGCAATTTAGTGACTTAGCAAGACACTGTCTCAAAATAAAAAAATTAAAAAAGGGCTGGAGATGTAGCTCATTGAGAAGGCCCTGGGTTCAGTCCCCAGTACCACATATGCACACGCACATGCACACGTGTGCGTGCTTACGCACACACACACACACACACACACACACACACACACACACACACACAAAGAGTTCTCCAGGCTCTGTGGTTTACATTTATATCTGGGGGATATGGAAGAATTCTTACTTGGAGAGTGACTTAGGGTACATATCTGAGGGTGCATTGGACAGGGAACAGTGGTTTCTTAGGGCTTTTGTTGACATTTTCCCTGAGGATAGGAATAGGGCAGATAATGGCAAGACTCACATTTTTTGCAAGTTTAATACCCTTGTATTTGATGTGGTGAACAGCTGGATCCCTGGATCACTGAATTAGGATACTCTTTGGCCTGTTGTAACAGTTATCCAAATTAACTGCCTAACAGAAAGTCTGGCTGGGCCATTCAGGGAGGTGGGGCCATTCCACAGTCAGCCAGTTCCCTTTTACATTGTTGCTCTAACTTCTTCAATATTCAGCTTTCACCTCATGGTCCAAGATGGCTTCTCAAGCTCCAGCTGTCATACCCACATTTGAGCCAGTGGGAGGGGGAAAGGGGGAAGAAACATTGTTTATACCACCTTGATTATTTCCCATGGGGCAGACTGTGGTCAAGTGGACAATATAGTCTTTATACCAGGGAGTCATGTGCCAAGCTAGAATCTTATTCTAAGGAGGGCGGATGGGGTAATGGTAGACAACAAGCATGTATTATTTTTGGACCTTTTTTTTTTTTGGTACTGGGGATCGAACTCAGAGCCTTGCACTTTCGAGGCAGGTGGTGGAACCACTGAGCTAAATCCTCGGCCTGAGCATGTATTATTTTTATTGGTACATGTTTGCTGTATCTAATGGTTACATTCCTTGTATAGAGTTGGTACTTGTATCTGACACATCTTAATTCTTTTTTTATCCCCCTCCTCTCTCCTCCTTCCCTGTCCTTCCCATTTGCATAAGATCTATCTCCCTGTTTCCTATTATCTATCTTTAATTTTGTTCTTTATTTATCTATAGGTTTTCTCATATAAGAGAAACCATGTTATTTTAAGCTTGTGTGTCTGATTTATTATTTAACTTAATATTATGGTTTCAAAGCACATTCATTTTCCTCCAAGTGACTCAAGCTTACCCTTCTTCATGGCACAGTAGTACTCGGCTGTGTGTAAATACCATTTTTTTTTTTTTTTTTTTGGTACTAGGGATTGAACTCGGGTCCTTTCAGTTGTGAAGCAGGCGGTGGAACCGCTGAGCTAAATCCCCGGCCCAAATATCATTTTCTTTATCCATTCCTCTGTTGGAGGCTGCTCCCAAGTCTTAGCAGTTACGAGTTGTGCTGCTATAAATACGGCCACATCCAAGAAAGTGTGGGTGGGGTTCCCATGTGGTCAGTAGGATTGCCCCTGATTTAGGCCTTTTTGGGGTTTCCAGCGGGGGGGGCTATTTTCAGGGATGCCCTCTGCCCCAGTGTGACTAACACTCCTCTACCCCATGTGCCTGCAGACAGCCCTGGTGCAGGAGGTCCATCAGAAGTTTTCAGCCTGGTGCTCCCAGGTGGTTCGCCTGTACCCTGGTCAGCGTCACTTGGAGCTCGAGTGGACAGTGGGGCCAATACCTGTGGGGTAAGTGGCACAGGCTGGGGACAAGGCGGAGTGGAGTTTTGGCGAGGCTCACACTTGTCCCTTTGGGCACAGGGACAAGTGGGGGAAGGAGGTCATCAGCCGCTTTGACACACCCCTGAAGACCCTGGGATCCTTCTACACGGACAGCAACGGCCGGGAGGTCCTGAAGAGGAGGTGGGGATGCTGAGGCAGTGAAGCGTGGTTGGTGGCAAGCTGAGGCCCAGGGCAGTGGGGTTCATCTGTGGACCAGAGGCGTGTGGGAAGGAGAGGAAGAGGGGTTGGAGGACAGGGGACACAGGGCGCTGACTTGACCCACTCCAGGCGGGATTATCGACCCTCTTGGAAGCTGAACCAGACTGAACCAGTGGCAGGAAACTACTATCCTGTCAACAGCCGCATCTACATCACAGTACGTGCCCCTCCCCAGCTTGCTCTTCCCCAGCAGCCGGGTGGGAATCAGCCCTCATTCCCAGCATCTCCCGGTTACCTGGGACAGGGTCAGTGGAGCCCAGTGCCTCATTCTGCCTCACCTCTGCCTCCCAGGATGGGAAGATGCAGCTGACAGTGCTGACTGACCGCTCCCAGGGGGGGAGCAGTTTGAGGGACGGCTCCCTGGAGCTCATGGTGAGTGGGTCCCAGGCCTCGAAAGCCCGTTTCCACCCTGGCCACTTGCTGAAACACTTAAGCCCAGGTTTTTTTGTTTTTTTTTTTTTTTTGGTACTGGGGATCGAACTGGGGACCTTGTGCTTTCAAGGCAGGCGGCAGAACCACTGAGCTAAATCCCCAGGCCCCACAACTCCATTCATATGTTTAACCTCCTCTTTTTTTGGTACTGTGGATTGAATGTGGGAACTTGGCATTGAGCTGCACCTCCAGCCCTATTTATTTATTTATTTATCTATCTATCTATTTATTTATTTATTTATTTGAGATGGGATCTCACTATGTGGCCCAGGTTGGCCTCAAGCTTTCTCAATCCTCCTGCCTCAGCCTCCTGAGTGCTGAGATTACAGGTGTGTGCCACTAAGCCTGGCTATTTATTTTTTATTTTATTTTGGTACCAGGGATCAAACTTGTGACCTTGCGCTTGCAAGGCAGGCTGTTTTATTTTTGAGACAAGGTCTTGCTAAATTGCCCAGGTGGGACCTTGAGCTTACGATCCTCTTGCTTCAGCCTTCCAAGTGCTGGGATTACAGACGTGGTGGCAATGTCTGACTATGGCCCTCCTTTTAACCTATCCCTAGAGCCCCCTCCAGGCCCTGAATCACCCTATTCACATCCCCCTATTAACGGCCTACCTTCTGCTGTCCTGGTCCACTGGCAAGTTGGATCCCACTTCCCCTGGGGTCCTTTCCCCTACTCTAATTTCTCTTGAAATTCCCACAAGCCCTCACCTGGTTTCTGGCCCAAGGACCCCTGCTAGATCCTCACCCTGTCCTGGCCCCGGCGGTACCCCAGGTGCACCGACGGCTGCTGAAAGACGACGCCCGCGGAGTGGGGGAGCCGCTGCTGGAATCTAGGTCCGGGGTGTGGGTGCGTGGGCGTCACCTCGTGCTTTTGGATAAGGCCCGCGACGCAGCCGCCGGACACCGGCTGCTGGCGGAGAAGGAGCTGCTGGCCCCGCAGGTGGTGCTGGCCCCGGGGGGCGGCGCCTCTTACCACCATGGGGTGGCCCCGCGCACGCAGGTAAGGCTCGAGAGCACAGCAAAAGGGCTGGGGGCCATAATCAGTCCCGCCCCCTGCTTTCAGCTCCAGGCCCTGCACCGGCTTAGCCCCAGCCCGTTAGCATTAGGTCGCAGGGTACCACCCGCCCATCTGCCCCAGGCTCATCCCTCCTTGGTCAGCCCCAGCCCCTGCCTAACCCTGTCCATCTCAGCCCACAGCAGTTCTGCCCGGTCAGGTCTCAGACCTGCAAGGCTGAGGCCTGCCCCACCCCTGGTAATCATCCAGTCTCCTCTTTGACTCAGCCCTGAAATTCCTGGATCTGCCTGCCCTTCCCTGAATGAGCCCGGCCCCAACCACCCGGATGTCCTGACCGCAAACAGCTGAGCCCTGCCTCCCAATGCAGGGGTCTGAATCCTGCTCCTTCCCGACTAAACCGCGCCCCCACTGTGTAGTTGTCTTGCCTACTGGCTGCTGAGCCCCGCCCCTACAACCTAGTTCTCTTAACTTCCGGCAGTGGGGTCCCGCCCCTCTGCTCAAGCTCCGCCCTCCCCGACTGAGCCCCTCCCCTTCCATAGTTCTCTGGCCTGAGCAGAGAGCTGCTGCCTTCTGTGCGCCTGCTCACCCTGGCCCGCTGGGGCCCAGAGATGCTGCTGTTGCGTTTGGAACACCAGTTTGCCCTGAGGGAAGATTCAAGCCGTAACCTGAGCTCCCCTGTGACCGTGGACCTGCGGGTGAGGAGGGCAGAGGTGGGAAGAAGGCTGGAGAGAGCAGAGAGAGGGCTGAGGCTAAATGCAGCTTTGGCCCTCCTTCACCCGGGTCCATACCTCCCCGCAGGGCCTGTTCTCGACTTTCACCATCACCCGCCTGCAGGAGACCACTCTGGCGGCCACCCAGCTCCGGGCCAGCGCCTCCAGGCTCAAGTGGACACCAAAGACTGGTGGGGACCTGGCGGGGGCCCGCCTGGCTCAGCAGCTGGGGGTTCTGTGTGAGGCATGGGATGTGGGCCGTGAGCCGGTATAGAGCCCGAAGGCCTGGCTTCCTGGCCCACGTTAGGGACTTGAGGGTCAGAAGTGGATTCAGCAAACTTGCAACACGTTTTGCTGATTCCCCGAAATCAGACTGGAGGGTTCAGTTCTGGGATGGTGTCCGCTTGAGGATACAAGGACAGTGCCTAGAAATTGGAGAGACCAGGGGTGGTGGAGCACGCCTGTAATCCCAGGACTTGGGAGGCTGAGGCAGGAGAATTGCTGTGCGTTCGAGGCCAGCCTGGACTACATAGCGAGTTCAAGGCCAGCCTGGGATGTACAGTGAGATCCTATCTCAAAACCCAATAAGAAATCGGAGCAAATTTAGGGATTACGGGGTAGTATTCAGGCCAGGAGAAGTGGTTTAAGGTTTGTGCATGATGTACTGGGGACCTATTTAGGGGTATATGGCTGTGTCCAGACCCAGGGGAGGGAGGATCATGGGGTGAGGGCGAGGAAGTCTGCACCTCTCCTTCTCCACCCTCCCCACCAGGTCCCGTCTCCCACCCCACTGTGCCCCGGCTGGACCCTGCTTCCATCACACTGCAGCCCATGGAAATCCGCACCTTTGTGGCCTCAGTCCAGTGGAAAGAGGACAGCTAGACCTGTGCGAGGCCCCTTGCTCTGGATGTGGGGCCGATTCCATATCTTCCTCTTGCAGCTGCTGCCATTCACAAAAGCCATTAAAATTCTGCTCGTGAGATTCAAGACACATGTGAGCATGAGTAGTTTTTTTTTTTTTTTTTTCTTTTTTTTTTTTGAGCCTGAGTAGTTTTGATTTTTGGGAGAGGTGTGGAACAAGGGATCCAGAAAGGTCATTAGTGCACTTGAACTCAGCTCCAACCCAGGTCCTTGTCAGGAGGTCACTTCCTCAGCTGAAGCTTCACACCAAGGACCACAGTTCACATCCTACCTCCCCCTCTACCTCCTGGCCTGATCCTTTGCTCACTCGGGCCCTTCACAACTGTCTGCAGGAGTCAGTGAAGGTGAGCCTGGGCTGGATGTGGGCTCAGAGAACCTGATATACCCTGGGACCTCACTGGGCACTTCGAGGTGCTGTCCTTAGAGCAAGGGACCCGGGAAGTCCTGGAGGACAGGGTGGACTCAGAGGCAGGCCCCCATTTGCAGCCATGGCTGGGTAGCTGGAGCTGTAGGCCATCCAGGAGGTAGAGAGCCTGTTGTACCCTGGGCTTTGAGTGGATTCTTGGGTCAGGTATGCAGGAAGGCTGGGTTTAACTCTTCATTTACTCATTTGATTACTTGAGACAGGGTCTCGGTGTGTAGTTCAGGCTGTTTTTGAACTCACTGTGTAGCCCGGGCTGGTCTCAAACTTTTGGCAATCCTCCTGCCTCAGCATCCTGAGTGCTGGGATGAAAGGTGTGCTGTACCACACCCAAGCTCTATATCTAAATTTAATCAAAGGGAACTGACACCCTCTCCAGTTGCCCCAGCCTTGTTCACATCCCTGTATGACAAGGAATGACATCCGTGCAACCTTCCTGGAACAGATAGAGATGAGGAGGGAGGATTGTGCTCTTGTGTGGCCCTGTCATTGGAACAGATACCTAATCTCCCTCTAGAAGGACCGCTGAGCCATGGCCCTGCACAACTGCCATCTGCCAACTGCAGATGTGCCTTAGTCTCCCTTTGATGACAAGGCCTGGCCCAGGGTAGACAGGGAAGCAGGGGATTGGGGGGGTGGGGCATGGTGGTCCTGTCAGGTCCCTCCCATAGGCCTGTTTGCCATGGGCTGTCTGGGGATGCTAGAGTGGGGTGTTGGTTTAGTCATTTTCTTGTGGCAAGGACATAATACCTGACACCCACAACTTAAAGGAGGAGAGGCTTATTTTGGCTCAGGAATTCAGTCTATGGTTGCCATCTCCAGGGCAGAAGTGACATGGTGGAAGGGCCTGCTGGAGGACAGCTGCTCCTCCCATGGCAGCCAGAAAACAGAAGGAAGGAGTTGGGACAAGCACATAGCATTCCAGGCAACACCGCAGGGACCTCCTCCAGCCAGGTCCCAGCTCCTAACAGCACAGCCACCCTGATGGGTCCACTGATGAGTACAGCGCCCTTGCGATGCAGTCGCCTGGAAGTCTTATCTCTGAACACAGGAGGCTTTAGGGGGACATTTGAGATCTAAACCATAACTCTGGGCAATTTAGTGTGAGTCTGTTTTAAAATAAGTAAAAAGAAGGCTGGGGACATGGCTCAGTGGTGATGTGTTTGCCTAGCATGCAAGAGGCCTTGGGTTCACCTGGCACCATAAAAGAAAAATCAAAACCAAAAATAAAACCACAGCCTAGTATGGTGGTACAGCCTGTCATCCTAACGCTGAGAAGGCTGAGGCAGGAGGTTTGCTGTGAGTTTGCGGCCAGCCTGGGCCACATAGTGAGACTCTATCTCAAAACAAAACAAAGGCAAAAACACAACCCTTTCCTACCCCTTCCATGGCCTCATCTGAGGCACGTCCCCTCTCTCCCTGTCCTCACTTTACCGAACCTCTTACCTTTGCTCAAGGCGTGCCGGTTAGAACTGGACACAACATCAGGTCTTTCTTCTGCCCCAGTCCTCATGATGCTTCCTGTGTAGGAAAAGCTGGGCCCAGATTGAAAATGTCTGAACTCAGGGATGGGCCTCGGACTGCATTTCTA